ACTCCCTGATCAGAGTCGCTCTGAAACACAGTCCGTTAAAAATGTAAATGTGAATGTGATGGTTCTGGTCTGATCTGAACCCTGAGGGAAACGTAGAGTATGATTCACAGAGCAGGAAATAAAAATTTAGATTAAATTTAAAAATGTACATTTATACTCACTTAAAATTATTTTATACAGCCAATATTTATAAGCATTTAATGATCTTTTGGCAATAAAGAAAATATTATTACAGTGTAAAGGTCTCCGTCCATGTGTAGTTTGATTATAGATCAGGTCTAGGTTCTGTATTAACACTGTGAACAATGCACAGTGTCGCACTCAGCTGCTGGCAGCTGTAAAACATGAACAGTCTTGGTTTAATACAAAAGTTGCACCATTGTATTGTGTTGTTTTTTTAAATATCTACAAGAAAATAATCCGAGCTCATAAACATCAGTGACAAACACAATCAGTTTATTTATTGGGGATAAGTTTGGTAAACCGTTAACTGGTAAAAGTCACATTCCACCTTCTTTAATTTAGGCTAAAACTCGTCGCCTGCATTCTCAGTCCCAGATTACCCTCCCCGCTCTCCTTTCTACCCATAAGACCTTGCGTTCAAGGGTCATTTCCTGTTTGATTTACAGCACAACAATCTTTTTTTTTTCTTTTCTTTCATGTTCAACACTCTCATACGTCCATGTAACTAAATTCGACTGCCCTTGCATGTCTCTTATTTGCTGATCAGATTACTGTGATCCTGTAACCCCCCCCCCCCCCCCCCCCCCCCCCCCCCCCGCTCAAACCTGCACATTAAAGTATTTACAGGGAGAAGGAAAAAAGAAAAAAGAGCTGGAACGAAATAAAAGGAGAAGGGGAAAAAAAGGGATTTTTTAAATGAGCGAACTAAAGCCAGCAACAAAATCCTCATTAACAAAGTGAACTCGTGATGAGAGTGACAGAGAGAGATTAGCCGTTCCCAGAAGCACAGGGAGTTCGCGGAGACAGAGAATGTGAACAATTCTTATTTTTGGACGAGTGTCCACCTCTTCTGTCTGATTTAAGAATCATGTGCGAAGCCTTTTGAAGTGCAGAGGTTCAGGATGGAGAGCAGGAGCTGTCTACTGAGCATCGCCTGGGAGAGGTTTGAATTAATGACATAAGATCCTGTGTGTTATTAAATGTGTGTGTGTGTGTGTGTGTGTTTGTGTTTGTTGCAGGGTAACAGAACTGATGGGTTACACTCCTGAGGATCTGGTGGGTCGTTCAGTCTACGACTTTTACCACGCCCTGGACTCAGACAGCGTCACCAAGAGCCACCACAACTGTAAGCACACACACACACACACACACACACACACACACACACACACACACACACACTGATTAACAGGCTGAAAACAGAGCATGTCACGTCCATTCAGAGGTGAAAAACAACATTTATATTTCTGGAGATCTGGTGATAACGGCACAAAGTGAAACATTCAACCATAAAACACACACATCTAATTATTAGCATTAGCAGCTAATTAATAAAGCCTGGCTGTGCTGGTTGGCTAATGCTTTCTAGTGGTGTTATCTATTAAGGAAAAACTCCTGCATCTATACTTTTTGTTATTTCTACAGATATGTGTGCTTATATATTTCTGTCTGTATATATGTATGTGCATGTGGTTTTTTTCTTTAGGTGTGTGTGTGTGTGTGTGTGTGTGTGTGTGTGTGTGTGTGTGTGTGTGTGTGTGCAGAGCAGGGACATGGTATTAAGATGTCTTTTATTAAATTAAGCTTAGCCACTGATGGCCTGATGAGGTTTGCACATCTGCTGCCACAAACACAAACACAGTGGACAGGGGACCAGGTGGCCACTATTACAATCTAATGACACTGTGTGTGTGTGTGTGTGTGTGTGTGTGTGTGTGTGTGTGTGTGTGTGTGTGTGTGTGTGTGTGTGGCACTAACGAGGCTCTGAAGTGTCATGGCTTTTCTCTCCATTGACAGTACTACATCATTAAAGGTTCTGAACAACAGTGACAGAACAAGAGGAAAAGTGGTAATTTACCTCTGTAAAAAAAAAAACACCCTAGCAACATAATGGCAGCTTGTGTGTGTGTGTGTGTGTGTGTGTGTGCACTGTAAAAAAACAAAACATTGCTGTTACCTGCTGCATCGCTCAGGGTTTTCTGCAGTGGAACTATTCCTGAATTTTAGAACCACAATCACAAGTTTTCTTTCTTATTTTTCCTCCATAATCATTTGGCATTTATCATTATTAAACACTGTTTTACTAAAAACAACCACAGGAACTTAAAAAAATAAAATAAAGTAACAAAAGTTTCCAAAAGTCTGATTTCAGTCTGATATCAGGAAATGTTTGATTGAAGAATCAATAAATGCGACTAAGAAACATGTAACTTCAGATTTAACCTTTTAAGTTTTATTTAACAAGAAGTAACTGCAGTTTTTATTCATTCAAAGATTTTTACTAAAACTATAGAAAACAATAAGATTTGAGGTGAGGTCGTGTGTGTTCTGTGCTCTGTGTGGATTTTATGTTCTGTTTCCCGTGGTCTTAGTCGTCTGTGTCCACCGTCCTCGGTTGGCTGAAACGTGCTGATATAAAGGGCTCTCTATCTCTCTCCATGTAACACACACACACACACACACACACACACACACACACACACACACACACACACACACACACACACACACACACACACACACACACACACACACGACCCGCTCTCACGGCCAACGTGACCAGTGTGTTGATCAGCACATGCTAACAGCGCTCTCTGCTACATCATGTAATGTTGCCCTGAGCTTCCTCAGTGCGCACACACACACACACACACACACACACACACACACACACACACACACACACACACACACACACACACACACACACACACACAACACACACACACAGTCACTGGCCTTATGTACACTCACTGACCACAGTCCTGGTCCTTTCCCACGCCAGAGCTGAACTTTGGACCGTAGCCAGCACATCTCCTTCTCAGCTCAAAGTCAAACATCCCACTTTACTCCTGCAAACCTTCAGTTGACTTCACAGCCTCATGCAAAATAAATACACAGATGTTTAATTAATAAGTCAATAATTACACATTTAAATAACAAAAAAAAATAAACAAAACAAAAAAAAATCTGTGACTTTAATGGACTGAACTGTAGGTTCGTTTCCTTCTGAGAAGCTCAGTGTCTGTTCCCGCTCTCGACAATAAAATGTGAGCAACTCAATAACTTTGCACAACATCGAACAATGATAGTGTTCAATAAACACAACTCCAATGAGTCACTGGTGAGTTAGAGGTGTGTTGTTCCTGTTTTAGCAGAAAGATAATATGTTTGTCGTTATTCAAAGGTCTCACTTTTTCCTCTTCTTCTGTGTTTTATTTTGAAGTGTTGATCTGTAAGAAGATATTATATTATTTGTGATTTCTTCTCAATGTAGTTTTACATCTCCTCTCTCAGGCTTCTCTCTGGAGCTCTAGCAACAACAGGTCGGTGAGCCAATCAGAAGAGAGGAGGCTCTGAGCCTCAGTGACTGCTTTGTTGTGACATCACAAAGTTCCAGAAGTCCTGACGGCTGGTTTTAAGGCTCAGTTTCTGAATACAGGCTGTGTGCATTTCTCTGTGGACTGAGGCTTTGATACTTTCACAGTATTAATATAGAAGCTAGAGCTGATCTATAATCACACTACACATGGACACAGACCTTTACACTGGATTGGACCTTTAATTTATTTAAAACAGACCAAAAATGACAAAACTTATTTTCTCAGAAGAACAATGTTTACAAACTTTTAGAGGAGATGACGTCACATTTGGCGCACCGGTGACATTACACGTGAAAGAGGTGTGTCCCTCGCCACGATCGTAAAAGATCTGATCAGACGAGGAAGCGAGAGGACAGTTGTTTCTGCGGCATAAAACCATAAAAGTAACTGTCGCTGGCTGTGACCACAGCGGCCTGTTATGGCTGGCTGTCAGCCTGGATATGATCATGGGCAAGCAGATCAGTTCCATACTGTAGCTCCCTTTTGTGACCAAACATTATGCACTCATAGCTCTCTCTCTCTCTCTCTCTCTCTCTCTCTCTGCAGTGTGTAGTAAGGGTCAGGCGGTGAGCGGTCAGTACCGAATGCTGGCTAAGAACGGAGGCTACATCTGGGTCGAAACCCAGGGAACTGTTATTTATAACAGCCGCAACTCGCAGCCCCAGTGCATCGTGTGCATCAACTATGTCCTCAGGTGAGCGCTGCGGTCCCCGGTATTGTGGTTCTGGCAGATTTCAGATTTTGTCAAAATGAGGCTAAATTTGCTGGGATTTATTGGAATAATTGGATTTATCGGATTTCTTGTTTTTCTCGTGTCCGCTCACAAAACCCCCGTCTCACGCCGCCTCTCCGTCTCCGACCCTGCAGCGACATCGAGGAGAAGTCGATGATCTTCTCCTTGGAGCAGACGGAGTCCCTGTTCAAGCCGCGCCACATGAGCAGCTTCTTCACTGCCGGAGGCGCAGGTGTGACCGGAGAGCCGGGAGACGCCCTTTTCACCAAACTCAAAGAGGAGCCCGAGGACCTGGCCCAGCTGGCTCCGACGCCCGGAGACACCATCGTTTCCCTCGACTTCGGTCTGTACTCACGTCTGTCCTAATTTGTGTTTCCTGAAGAATCAATTTTCCAATTATATTAATCTTCAAATAAACCCAAAGTTTTCTACATACATACATGTTGCTATGGTTACCTGCTATTGAATATATTTTATACATAGATTTCTACATAGTCTAAGGCGTCCTGTTGCTGTCCAGTCAAAAAAGTAACTTCCTGTAGCCGTGGTGATGTTTAAGTATTTATTTGTTTTGATTTTACCCAAAAGTTGAAGCCTCATGTGGCATCAGCTGTTTTACTCTTCGCCCTGACCTCCGTCTCTCTCTCTTGCAGGTCGCCCTCAGTTCGAGGTGTCCGCCGCCGCCGCCATGCTCCCTCCAGGACCTCCGTCCTGGGCCAGCGAGAGTCACAAGGCGGGCCCTCCGGCATCAGGCCAGACCCCGGCTCCGGTCCCGGTTCCAGGGGACATGGCTAACATGGCCGGTACATTCACAGTGCAGCAGAACCCGCCGCCGGGCAGCGCCACCCCGAGCCTGAGCAGCTGCTCCACGGTGAGGACGAGGACGGAGTGTTAAAATGAAAAGAGTGATTAGTTAGTGGGCGATTGACTGGTTGTTCTTTCTGTGTTCAGTGAGGCCTGGGGGGGGGGTTAAAGGACACCAACAGTGGGCAGTGTGTGTGAGAATAACGGGGGTGGATATTTGGAAAGAGCAGTGAATACCGTCTTTGTCAAAACTCACTTCTCGCTCCTTGTTTCTGTATTTCCTGTCCCCCCCGCCCCCCCCTGCAGCCCAGCAGCCCAGGTGATTACTACAGCTCAGTGGAGAGTGACCTGAAGGTGGAGCTGACGGAGAAGCTGTTTGCTCTGGACACAGAGGGCAACAGTCCTGCAAACACTGAGGTGGTTTTTCCTCTTTGTCTCTTTGTGCTGTCAGTCCATTCATCTGAATAACGAGGCCTTGACTTTCCTTGTCTCTCCTCCTCTCTCAGCGGAGGTCTCTTGGCATCAATCTTCTCTGTTTGGGTTTGAACTTTGGTCGATCTTGTCTAAACTACTTTTCGTTTCATTTCTAACAAACCATGTCGTCTTTCACTTTCCCAGACGGACTTAAGCGACTTGGACCTGGAGACTCTGGCTCCTTATATCCCCATGGACGGAGAGGACTTCCAGCTGAATCCCATCATCCCGGAGTCCGAGCCCCTGGAGGGGGGTCCGGCGGGATCCATGGGGAGCAGCAGCAGCCTGCCGCAAACACGCCAGGCATCCCATCAGAGCTCCAGCAACATCGCCGGCCTCTTCCAGCCCCTGTCCTCCCCTCCTCAGCCCCAAGGCCACTACCAGCCCCAGCCAGCTGCAGCCTGGGCCACAGGGGAGAAGAGAGGCTCCAGCCATGGGACCGTGAACCCCCGCTCGGGGTCATACATGATGGGTCACATGCAGAATCCCCCGTACCAGGCCCCGGCCAGCACCCCTCTGTCCTCCATGGGCGGCAGGCAGAATCTGCAGTGGCCGCCGGACCCTCTGTTAACCTACCAACAACAACAACCACAGGCCACCAAGGCCTACCGCATGGACACTTTGACAGGAGAGGCGCGCCCGTCCTGCCAACAGAACATGACGCATCTCATGCAGAAACAGAGGTGAACAACGGAGGTTGAAACGACACAGTTAAAAAAAAAAATTAGAGATGTTTGTGTCTTTGCATTGAATCAAGTGTTAACTCTGTGCTCATGTGTCCGTGCAGGTCCATTGACAACTTTATACAAGCCTACAGAGACATGAGTCCCGCCAGAGTGGCCATGACCAACAGCTTCAAGCGCTCCTTCACCCAGATGGCTGTGGTGAGTGTCTCTGATGAAGACAGTGTTTTTCACATGAAAAGAATCATTACGGGGTGAAGATCATCAGTGTGCCGGTGCGTTAGTGATGAGAGTTTCTCGTGCTCAAACCAACTCCACTTTTTTGGTTTTTCATCGTGCAAAACTTTTGAATATTACCTGCTACATTTCTTTTTTTATTTTTCGTGTCAACTTCACCAGGGTTAATGGCTAAAAAGTGTTTTTCTGACCTTTGACCTCCAAAGTCTAATCAGCTCGTCCTTGAGTCCAGGTCAACATTTTTTACCAAATTTGAAGGAATCGCCTAAAGGCGTTACTGAGATATTGTTTTGTGAGGTCACAGTGACCTTGACCCTTGACCTTTCTAGTCAGTTCGCCCCCGGTGTCCTAGTGAATGTTTGTGCCAAATTTGAAGAAGTTCTGTCGAGGCGTTACCAAGATATCGTGTCCAAGAGAATGAGACGGACGTACGTTTTTCTCCTCTTCTAACATGGACTAAAAAGAGGTTTTAGTTTTTCACACCTTGCCTTTATCGATTCCTGAGGTTCCAGGCAGACGACGCGGAATCACCGAAGAATGCTGATTGGTCAGAGAAGAATCGGGGGGGGGGGGTAGTATCTGCAGTGGAAAAAGAAGAAGCAGCTCATGATTAATAGAGAATATGCAAAAGTTTTAACACCTCATATCACGTCTTCATTGATTGATAACGAGATCAAGACTGTAAAGGTATAAAGATGATGAAGGTCAGTTTCTCACGCTCTTCTTCGTTGACAAACAGCTGATGGAGAATCCGTTTGATCCGACTGTGTTTCAGGGTGAAAGTAAGGCGTCAGAATTCACATGGAAGAAGATGAGGGGCAACGGCTGTGTCGCCATGGATCGCTCCCTCAGCGCAGGATCACTGACAGGTAACGAGACGTGTGAGCCTGCCGAAAAATATCACGACATCATCATCATCATCGTCATCATCATCATCTCTCTCTCTCCCCAATCACAAACACCTGACCTCTCGCTCCTTCCTCTCAGAGTCGGGGATGAGCAGGATGATGTCAGGCAGCATGTCCTCGTGTCTCAGCTCCCTGCAGCAGCACAGGAAGTCTCAGTATCCTGGAAACGGGATCGGCGGCGCCAGCGAGAAAGTCTTCGCCCAAAAGAGCTGCAACTACACCGATTACAACATGCTGCCTTCTAACAAGCCCGCCGGTGAGTTGACCTGACTGTGAAGAGAGTTAAACTACCAGGAAACATATCGAACATCTGGATCCGGTTTCTGATTTATTTACTAATAGGCTGCATAAAAAAAATCTCCTTATGGACTCATTTTATGCTTTAATTGATTCATTAAGCGCATATAAGATACAAATGTGCCAGTGCATTAATAATATTTCAACCTGTTTCCAGTGCAAATCAACTGGTTTCACGAGAAGTTTAGTTTCTCTTCTTTAAAGATTTATTCTCAGTTTTAATGGAAACAGGTCAAACTGTGGCAGATTTTCTTTGCTTCTTAATGTTTCTGGGTTTCTGCTTGAGTCCAAAACGACCAGATAAAGTGGAGATTGTCGGTGTCTTGGGCCTGTTTGTTTGTGTTGAATCACTCACACGGATCCTCTGTCATTTTCCAGGTCTAGCTAGTCGTTTGCTGGGCCCCTCGTTTGAGCCCTCCTGTCTGCCGGAGTTGACCCGTTACGACTGCGAGGTCAACGTCCCGCTGCAGGGAAACCTGCACCTCCTCCAGGGCTGTGACCTGCTGAGAGCCCTGGACCAGGCCACCTAGAGCCCCAGATTCAAACCCCACCATAGACCCGGACTTAATCCCGGCCCTGAACCTCGACCTGCAACCCGAGACTTAGAGCCTAAATCTTTACCTTCATACCTCTGGGTTTTCTGAAAGCTCTGAGGCTAAGCTACCTATAGGGAATGGTATTCATTAGCTTATATGACTCGGCCCCTCACTGGTTCTCTCTGTAGTTCTGTGCCTTGACCATCTAAACAAGCTGAGATATCAGGGTCAAGCCACTTACGCCCCCTTGTTTCCCCTCGCAAACGTTTGACTCAAATCAGACGCAGGTCGACCACCGATGTGCGAACGTTGCCCTGCATTGAGCCGACCGCACACACACAGGACCCAGACATGTAAGAAAACGCGGGTCAGTCCAAAACGATGCCCGACCTGAGTCCTGTGTTAAAGTCTCGACACCGGGACGTCTCTGGTCACCGCCGGGTCTTTGGTGCAAACGGGTTATTAGACACACGATCTGCCTTAAAGGCCAGCTCTGCCCAAACACCTACAGCCATACGCCGCGTCATACCAGCTGTTTCCTGCCGTGACTTACGTGGGAATCCATGACCATGCTACACATAGGCACACGGGGGGGTGGGGGGGTGGGGTGGGGGGATTCAAACCTACAACACTGTCTCCTCTGCAGAACTACAGCCCTGATATGAACTCTATGCAGCTCGGTTCCCAGCCTTACCTTCTCTCTAGCGGCTAACTCGTTTCGCTCCGAGGAGAGGATGTTATTCTACCTACACATTAACAGAGACACTGTGTTCTTTCACTTCGTGCATTTGACCAGCAGATAGACCCCAGACCACTTTTCTAGTTCCAGTCAAAGCCTCGAGCGAGAGCTGGGCATCGTGAATCGGTTCTGACTCGTAGACATTTTAAAATCAATAAGAACCGAGGATTCTTTTTCGAAGACACGCTCTTTGATTCCGTTTATTGATTCCCAAACTTTTTGATCGGAAAAAAAGGTGCAATATGCAAGATCGGTAACCAACACAGCACAGCGCTGGTGATAGCAGCTGTTCCCAACATTTGCGTCTGTTTTCCTCTTGGATTGATTCATTTTAATGATCGTAGGGATAAAACTTATTAAATTAAATCACATGAAACAAGCAAAAATTAGTCTAAAGTCTGGGAAAAAATAAATAGAAATCTGTCAACAAGAGCAGGATTTTATTTATTATAAGCATCATTTTTATCTCCTTGTGACCACGCAGGAGAAATTATAATATGTCAATAGGAAAAGTATTATTAACCTGCTTAATGCACAATTTTAACTTGAAGCAATATTTTGCGAAATGGAACTTTTCATATCCGAGTTGTGGCGTCTGTAAAAACCGCCGTCACGTTTAATTGGAACGATATCACGAGAGGAGAAAACCCAGGTTTATTCACATCGCTCGGTGGAAACTCAGAACATTCACACTGTGTTTTGTCGACTTTTAAAAATCGCTTCTATTTTGCACAAAAACTGCAATTTTTTTGACGCCTGAAATTATATCGCTCCAGAATCTTTAAGACTAGGAGTTTGGGATTTCCAATTGAGGTAAAAAAAACAACAACAAAAAAACATTTATCTTGTACGTGATGATGTCGACAATTATTTCAACGTCTTGAAAATACTTCACTGCTTCTTGAATCATATTTAGATTTGAGGATCTGGAATCAATGAGCAGAATCAAAGCCTTCATCACACACTCATCAACCTGCCTCTTCATCTCCCAGCTCATCACCTGTAGTTCAGTGATTCTCCGACTCAGAACATCAGTTTGGGTCAGTTTTAATTACACATGCATTGTGCTTTTTATTGTAGTTATTATCGCTAGTCTATACTTCTGTCATTGAATTGAGACACTTTAACTTTTATCAGATCTCCCCACGTTATTTAATCCAAATCGTCAGGACACTTTACCGTATCAATACTGCTTCGTTTCTCCTCTCATTTATTTTTTTATGTCGTTATTCTACCTACCTTTTTTTTTTTTTTGTGTCTATCTCACAGACACACTAATAAACATATATTGCAATACATGTACTCTACTGTAAGTTGAATATTGTTAAGTTTTATTTTTCCTTTTTTTTTTTTCTATCTCCCTTTGATTTACCTTAACATGTTTCTCTCACTCTCACCTGTTCATCAGGTGAGTAGCTCGTGTGACTACAGGGTTTGTTCTTATTGTGCAATTAATTCAGTTATATAGTCAGCAACAAAGCTAGCTTGTACAAAGGAAACTGGCTTGCACACTTACACTGTAAGAGTTCACTTGATTATTTGTCGCAGGCTTACACAAACACACACACACACAGACACACTTCACGCAATACGGAAAAACCAGGTGTGTGCACAGGTTATATAAAGGGGGCGGGGCAGACCGCTCCTGCAGGTTCAGCGTTTGCCCTTAACAATAGTATATAGTTTTACTTTCTGTTATGTATTTTTATTTTATCCATTATCAGACTTTTGAAACTTGCTCGACTTGTGTAAAACATCATAATAAACTTTCTATTGCAGCTTTATTTGAAAAGATTGCATTATCTGACAAAAAAAAATTATTTAAATGTTTATTTAAAACACATTATAAAGTTGTAAGGCTGCAACATGCAGTTATTTTGATTTTAAATTTGATTCTTTTCTCAAAGAATCGATTGTTTTGTTTATAAAATGTCAGAAAATGGTTAAAAAAAAATTAAAAAAAAGCCCTTTAGTCCGAGCTATCTTATTCTTTTTAATCTGATTATCAGTCCAAAATCCAAAGATATTCAGTTAACTATACAACAAGTAATAGCAGCAGGTGATACATGCAAAAGCGGAGAAGCTAAACATCTTCCAAGGAGAGGTCACCCCCCCACCCCTGTGCACAACATTGCACAAACCAGACAGTGTGAGGTCAACTATAATCACTTCAGACTACACATGCAGTACATGTACATAGCAGCCGCAGCAGCAGCAGCAGCCGCAGCAGCAGCAGCCGCAGCAGCAGCAGCAGCCGCAGCAGCAGCAGCAGCCGCAGCAGCAGCAGCAGCCGCAGCCGCAGCAGCAGCCGCAGCAGCAGCCGCAGCCGCAGCAGCAGCCGCAGCAGCAGCAGCAGCCGCAGCAGCAGCCGCAGCAGCAGCCTGTGAAGTGACTTGAAGGTGGAGTGTATGTGTATTATTCTTTGTGATTAGGACAAGGCCAGTTTTTCTTCTAATTCATGAGAGTGGCTGCCAATACCAGAAATAAATCAACAGAATGACGATGGACTAAGAGTAGGATCAGTTTCGAACTAATAAAAATTTTTTTTATTTTCGGTAATATCATCATCATCATCAAGTTCTCACCGTTTCTTCGTCTGTTCTCTCCTTTTCTTAATCTCACTGTATTTTCTCGAGGTAATTGTCTTTTGTGTGGTGACCACTTTTGAGTATGGATTATAGAGCTTTGTACACATATAAGTTACGTATTTAAAAAAAGAAAAAAAGAAAAAAAAAGACAAAACTAATGTTGAAGATAGTGTTTTTAGTGTTTATGTGTCCTGGTACTTTGTCCTTATCTACCCCTGTAGATCCCTCGCAGTGCCGTTTCCTCTCGTGCTGTTTTTTCCGTGTTGTGACTTTTTTTTTTTTTTTTTTTTTTTTTTTTTTCCTTTTTTGGCTTTTTTTTTTTTTTTTTTTTTTTTAATTGTCCCCCAGAGTTTTATCCTTAAAATATCTATTGAATCTGTTGGCTGGCCAGTATTTTTTTTTTTGTTCTTGCTTTAAGAAGATAAAACGAAAAACAAACAAACAAACAAACATAACAACAGAAGAAAAAAAAGTTCAGATTTAAAGATAAATATCAGTTTTCTAAGTTTCACTTCAGATATGTAGCATTTTGAATATTGTAAAGAAGGTGAAGTTGCCACATAATTAATCATAGTTTTCCAGTTGCATATACTATATATATAAAAGCAATGGTGCTTCATAGACCATGTATGTGTCATTTTAAGAACTTTTATTACATCTCTTGGATCCACTAACACTGTATTTTTTTATGTTCTCCGCTTTGTGTCATGCTGAGATGTTCTTTAAAGTTCATTTGAATCCATATAATGTGCCTTATCATGACTTCCTGGTTGTCTCAACACATATCTGAGTTCACCCTTCAAGAGCACAGTTTGTTTCCTTACAACCTGTAGATGACGTCCTTCAACTCCTGGGGGGCTATTATTGAAGATAATCCTAACTCGACGTTGCATCTTTCAAAGTTAAACATTTTAAAGTCCTATTATCTGAGAGAGTAGCATCAAATTTCAGTTTTTGTTTGTTTTGTTTGCAGTTTTAATTTGACTGTATCCTAATGATTGTTACCAGATATTACAGCAGAAGCTTTGCATTTGTTGGATCTGCTCAACTTTTGTCTTCGACTGTCACAGTTGGGATGATTTTCATAATGAACCCTAAGGTTCTGTTCTTAGTGACGGAACATGCAGAAGAAACCTCATAAATTCCAGTAGAACGCCCATTAGAACCCACTGTAGATCCCCTGGTGATGACGAGTCAAATTTTGGTTTAAGGTTTTTAAGGAAATGGATTCCCCAGCTCATCAAAACGACCTAACAGTCTGTCTGTTGATGAAGCTGCTTGTGGGTTTTTAGGTTTAGTTGAATAAGACTTGACTGCACATGAAAGAATTTGTTCCATTAGTTTTAACAATGAAGATTTAAAATTAATATATTTTCTACAAGCTGGGTCTTTTTTTCAGGCTTTGGCTGTTCCACCAGTTACAGTCAGATTTTTTGGACCACCTTAATTGCTCAGACATGGGGATGGACTGTGCTACATCATGATAATTCAGATGTCTAGAAAGGTTTTAACATAATTCACAGTTTAGGTATAAGACAGTATCTAAAACTGAACCTTTTAGAAGTGATAGCAAAGAAATCCAAAGCTATGAAGATTTAATCCCTGTTGTAAAAAAACACATGATGTTTAATTGGATTGGAGATGGACATTATCCTGAGACGGGCTGAGAAACAGGGATGAAGGAGACATGAGTGATGTGGAGTTGAGTGAAACCTGAAGAGAGAGACATCCTGCTCAGCCTGCCCACTGATGCATATCTCTCCGCTCGACACCATCACTCATCTGTTTCTCCTCTCACTCCCCCCTCTCTCTTCACTTTCCTTTAACAACATCAATTCATTTGTTTTCTCTCCTGATATGTCAGCAATTACTTTATACATGAATATGTCCAATTTAAACAATATTTCAAAGTAAAACACCTGCAAATGGAGCTACTCTTATTTGTAGGATCATTGCATAGCATTTAAAGACTTTTAAATGTTTTGTTTTGAAGTCATTATAATTATTTTCATTGAATGGTTCAAGTGCTAAGGCGACTTTCAGAGGCCAAAGAGGTTTTAGGAATTTACACTAAGTGCTTTGAAACATGCACATGGAAAAAGAACAGCACCTCAGATGGGTTTTTTAGCTGATGAGATTTGACCTAAATTGCGTTCATGTATGTGGAAAGAGTTGGTTAGATGGAAGTCGATTTTAAAAATAGAAAGTGTAAACAGAGGAGAAGCCCCAACCCCCCATTTTTAAGCTAGCTTCTG